TTGCTTTTAGAAATCAAGGGGGTGAATGAAAACTGATGAATTAGCAAGAAGGTGATCTCTCTTGCATGCATATTTTTCTATGCTTTTGTAGAGAGACTTAAATACATTTAAAGAACAATTTAGATTTATAGCTGTATTTATCATGATTACTTCACTAAATTTGGCAAGATGCATTAGAATTCCATGTTTCAAAGGCACAGTGCTTTAGGAAGTGAAATATTACAATGTGGTTTGGCTTATTTTTCTAATTTTGTCTAATACTAAAAGTGCCAGACAGTACATTGCTGTAAGGGGGTAGAATAGAAGAAAAAAAAGGTAGTGTAGAAAGTAATCTTAACCCTAACGAGTTGCAGCTGGGCCAATTATCAAAGATCAGGAGCAGGCCTGACTTTAACAGGCCACAGGTGTAAGCAATGAGCAGAAGATGCTATAAAAGAGTGGGGTGGGTGGGTGAGAAGGGAACTGGAGTCAGTGGCTGCTTTGGGAGAGGAAAGAGTCAGTGCTGTGAGGAGCTGCCCACGAGAAACACCAGGAAGGTATGGAACTATTGTGATAAGGAAACAACAGTATGGAACCCCTGCAATGGGATGACAACACATTGCAATATTCCTAAAGGCTTGTTGGTTGGTTTTATCTTTTTTCTTTCTCCTGTTCCCCTGCTGTTGTTTATCACAGTGGAGCAGTGAGATCACAGGTAATTGCTCCCATCATGGAGTCAGAGCTAGTGAGGAACACTCAGCACAGGGAGGGTTTGAACAGACAGGTGTCTGCTCAGGAAGGCAGGAGCCTGCCCTGAAATGGAAAATGTAAACTCCTTCCCTCTGAGTTGTTATAATTTTTAAATTAAGGAACCCTCAGGCAAAGATATGGGAGTAGGGATAACTGTTCTTTATTAGGAAAAAATTTAAAAAAACCCAACAAACCAAAAGCAGTAATACAAAACAGCACTGCCAGAGTCAGCCCATGCCCTGTCCCCCTGTGTGTCAGGGGGTGGCACAGCCCCATCCCATGGGGGCTCAGCCCTCCTGCAGTGCCAGCTGTGGCTCTGCTGGAGCAGGGATCCTGCACAAGGGTGAAATTAGGAAAATGTCTTTTTTAGAAAAAATAGGGACAGAAAAAGGGCTTCACACTGGGGTGGGTGAGATGGGGCAGTTCAGTGAAATTATCAACTCCTCTTCAGGCACAGGATTGATGAGAATCCTGGCTCAGAATGTCTACCTTGCAGTTTTTTCCTGGTTTTTTTTTTTTTTCTTTTGAGCTTTGACACAGGGAATTTCTTGTACTTTTAATACAAAGTTGATAGTAAATAGGCTGTCCAGTCTCATGGTTGAGGAGCTTTCTTAATTTAAGAGAGTTTCCTTTATTTCTTTTTGGTAAGGTGTTGTGTTGAGATATGCAACAAATAGCAGCCATTTTATTCCTGGTTTAGAATGGCAAATATTGTCCTCTGCTCATTCTGGAGAGAGGAACTATGCATGCTCCTCAAGATATAACCTTTCTAAATGCTAAAAGCAGTAAACATAGTTTAAAAGACTCTTTTTGCAGCATCATCACCATGTTTTTGTCAGCATTTGCAGGATTCCTCATGTAGAATGGCAAGTTCTGCATTGAGTACAAGCTCCAGGAATAGCAAAAAAGCCATTTTTAAAGGTGTTTTTTGTGTCACATCTAGCTTGTAGCACAAGAAGAATAAATTGTATCTTGCTTGGGAAAGTGACATAAACCCAGGGTTTTGTTAGCCACAGAGGGATTATGGTGAGAGAGACAAGGATCCCTCACCTGAGCCATAATTCCTCCTGGTGAAATTGCTGTGGTTTCAGCTGGGGCATCAAATGTCACGGGGGGAGCAGCAGGAGAGAGAAAATGCTGATCGCTCACAGGAATCCCGGGGCAGAGCAGTGAGTGATTGCAGAAGGGGATCTGTAAAGGGGAATCAGGTGAGCTGATGGGGCCACACCTTGTGTGCAGCCCAGCTCTGCTCCTCCCTGGGCTCTGCCCCTTCCCACCTTCTGCAATAATTACCTTATTATCATGGACACATCACTCCGGGTGCTTCTGGCCCTGCATTGCCTGGGGTGGGGGAGAATAAATTGCTTTTGTGTCTCCGGTGGCTTGGCTGCAGATCTTAGCTCTGCCTAAGGAGCTTGAGAGCTGGCAGTGCCTTCTCAGTGGATTTAATTGAGTGATCACACTGTGACACACAGACACTTCCTCAAAAGCCTCAGCACAGGCTGGCTTGGAGCTGCAGCTCTTTTTCATCCCCATTACGCTGCTTCCATGTCTTCATTCACTGCTCCTCAAAGGTGACAGGGGATGCAGCTGCTGGGCTAGAAATTGCAAGTTTCAGGAACGGGGGGTAGGTGTGAGGGGGAGGAAGAAATCAGTCATACAGATGGAATGATAATTCACTGCGTTAAGACACACAAACTTAAATAAAAATCACTGTTAAAGCTTTTAGATAATTGTCAGGTCTTCACAGACTAACAATAGTCAGCCCATTAGTTTAATGAGTGCTATTTGACCCATAATATTAAATGAATGTGTTTCACTGTTTATTAATTCACCATTAGCTTGAGGAATGCCATTATTTTAGGTAGGAACACTCCATCTCTGTCTCCCTTGGTGCAGTGGCGAGTGCACTATCAAAGATCACAATCCCTCTGGTGTGAGGATCATTCTGCAGAGTTCCCAGCATTACTCAGTGTCTGTTTGTGCCCCTGTGTCCAGCCTGGGTGCAGATGTTCCCTCAGCTGTGCAGCTCTGGCTGCTGCAGGTTTCAGCAGGAAAACTCTGCTGTGACAGCCTGGCACCCTGACCTGCTGAACCAGGGCCACACAAAGCTCCTCTCTTTGCAGTGTCACTGTGTTATTTGTCATTTTGTTTGATAATTTTTCATTAGTATGCTTGGCCTAAGAATGTGCTAATGGAATTTGATAAAAATGTAAAGCTGGGAGGAATTGCTAACACAGAGTGTGTTATCCAGGAAGAGATGGATGGGCTTGCAGACTGAAATAAAAGTGAATTAATGTTAGTAATACCAAGGAAAAGGTCATGCTTCTAAGAACTAACTGGAATTCAACTGCTGAGCAGGGATTTATCAGACAATAATGTGGAGAAGAAAGATAGGGACATAATATGTCCAGTGGCCCAGCTGACCACTGGGTGACTGTAAAGCACCAGGAAGGTACAAAAATATAAAAGAGAAATACAGTCTTTGGACACTTAAGGTGAATTATTAAAACAGAAGAGTAATTGCCTTGCAAGGCATTAGTGAGTCCTGGCTGGAATAGTCACATTGTCCAGTTCTATTCACGTTTCTTGCAAAGCTGATGGAGGGAGAAGATAGGCACCTTTGACAGAGGTTTAGAGCAGGATTTATGGCAGCTTCAGGAAGCCCCCCTCCAAATTCTGCTGCTTTAAGACAGGTTTTTGGTATATCCTCTGCAATATGTGCTTTTAGTAATTTCCCTCCAAGAAAGATGTAATTAAATTGATATAAGTGGGGTGTAACTCTATGAGTCTATTAGTAGAAAGGCCTTTTTGTGAGGGGATGCTGCCAGAGTGACCTAAGGGAATGGATGGGATGTTTTTTTGTATGGTTTATTTTGGAAAGGAAAAATAACTGCTAACACCAAAAAATATTGATGAAGAGGAGCAACAACAACAGCAAAAAGGAGATAGGTTGTTTGTAAAAAAATAGAATTTAAATAAGGTCAGCTCTGCTTGTGTGAGAGAAATTCTTGAACAGCTTCAAAAATCCCATTAGTGACAAAGATACACATTTCAAATAGAGCTGAACCTGGGTTTGAATCAGGTTAAATTAAATAACTGTTTGTGATTGCAGGTGCTGGGTTGTGATGTGACAGGAGTTCATTTCCATTCTGAAATTCCTCTGGAATAAGTTTTTGATGAATCCACAGATGTCTCCCATTGAACAGCAGCTCTGCACACAAATTGTCTCCTTTGCTGTGCGGGCTGAGCTCTGTTCAATAAGAGCTGTGCTCCCCTCCACCTTCCCTCAGCCAGGGTCATGGCTGGGTGCTCCTCCTCTGCTCCTGGCAGCCTGGGAGGGCTGGGGATGTCCTTTAGAAGTGATGATTAACACCAATATAAAGGAAGATCTATTCTCCTGGAGACAGAGTTATAGCTAGGTGTCATCTGGAATTTGTGAGGAGACTGTTAAGGGCTTTTCACCCTAGTACAGTGGTGACAATATTGGGACATAAAGTTCTGACAAAGATTTTTGTCTTACAACGTGGTTAAACAGCCTTCAGAGTCTAATATGAGCTTATTAACGTTGTGTCTGTTGTTTGACCTATGGCAGTGTGTGTGTGCCTTAAAATGTTTCAGTTGCTTTAAATGATAAATTGTTCAAGTTGCTATAAACGATGAATTTCTCTCTATTTCCAGCAGTGGATTTAGTGCAGTTTTCCATAGCAGTTCACTTGGTATTTCCCAGGTGTTGGGCACTGACCTGAGCTCAGTGTAACCCTGGGGTGGCAGAGAGCTCAGAGGTGTTTGTGCTTCAGGGCAGCTCTGGCTGCTGGAAGTCAGCCCAGCAGACTGTCCCTAGTGAGAGGGATCTGCCAAACTTCCTTTGTCCCACTCCACGTGGAACTTGAGGCCTTCTACCACTGTGGAACTGAACTCTTTTCAAAGAATATCCTGGGAATTGTGTCTGGGTTGGAATGCTTATGGTTGCATTGCTTGTCATCAACAAATTAAAAATTAGTAAAAATAGAAACATGTTTTCCCAGTTCTCTCCTGGTGTATTTCCTGGATTTTTACCCAATATTCCTGAATTTTGCTGTTTTAATTTATGCCTGGTTTTGCCTTCTGATGTGCATGAGAGGTGAAGAGTCTCAGTGTGAAAGACAGTTCTCTTCAGTTCTGTTCCTTCAAGCCATCAGAACCAATTGATGTCAGTTACCTCAAAAGCCAATTAATCCCACTTCTGTTTTGTTGGATCAATACTAATGCATTTTTCCTGTAATTTTCAGGTTTTGACATCGCTGGATGCCAGCAAAGCTGAGGTAGGAAATTCTGTTTTATACTGGTGGAATATTAAATAGTTCTCAGTGCTTCTGATAGGGGGGCCAGCTTGCTTACAGTCTTGGGGTGAAAGTTTAAGTTACTTCAGGATGGCATTTGTGCTGCTTCTAGTGCTTAACGAGCCAATCTTTGGAAATCTGGTCATGGTATAACAACATTTAAGCTCATAAAGCCCTTCTGGGAAAGTTTTGCCATTGTGCATGTCTTTCTGAAGGTTTCCATGGCATCAAAACCACACAATCCCAAGGTTTGTTCAGTGTGTGTTTTATTTCCCACCCCCAGAAGGTGCAAGCTGACCTTGCCCTGTGTCCTTCCCTTTTTCTCCTTTGATATAAGTGGAGTGCAGCTCTATGGGTAGAAAGACCTTTTTGTGAGGGATGCTCCCAGAGTGACCAAAGGCAATGCCAGCAGGGAATGGATGGGAGGGCCCATCTTGGATGCTTTATTTTGGCTCCTCAGCCAAGCAGGCCTGTTCCTGCTGCAGAGGTGGTTCTGGGGCTTGGCACATGTTCTGTCCACCTCCACACGAGCTGCTTTGCCTCACTCTCCTTGTGCCATGAGCTGCTGGAACAGGCTGGAGCATGGGAGGGCAGCTGGATTTTGTTCTGAGCTCCGATTGAGTTCTGGAGAGCCGTCAGCAGTGTTGTGTGTTAGGTGCTTGACATTGCTGCAGGTTAGCTCGATCCTTTTGGGCTCACATTTATTTTGTCAGCTTTCCTCTTGGTGTGTGAGTGTTTCTGAGTGGTCTGGAGGTGTTCTTAGAGGTGCAAATATCCCGGTTATTGGAGTATGTTTGGAGTAACCGACTGCTGAAGAGAAGTGGCAATGCTTTGTGAGCACAAAGATGTTCAAATGCATTTTCCTCTCCTGAACAAGTCACTGTGCTTGTAATGACTGGCAGATATTTTAATTTGGTGCACAGTGCCTGAGTCATTTATTTGTAACATCAGTTGGAAGCTCAGAGTGTTCCTTGTGAAGCCCTTCTCAGACTCACAGTAGGGAATTTGTGGTGTGCTCCAAAGCCAATGTTTAACTGTGACAAAATGTGTAGGTGACTCTAACTGCTGGATAAATTTTTAATATGAACCTTTGGTAAATTAAATTGCATTATTAAGGAGAATAGATAAACTGTGCTAGTTACTTCAAAGAACAAGAACACGAGTTCACTTGCATGCTGCAAAAGAATGAGATCATTCATTTTTATTTAGATTGAGACTGTAATATCAGTGTTCAATTTAGCTGGTCTGATTCAATTGCATACTTGGCTTGTCTCGGGGAGTTTCAGGAGTAGGATTTGTATCTGTTTTTTTCACTGTTGCACTGCTCAAATGTTTGGTTCTGTTCTATCAGGAGTTCACTAATAGTAATTTTCAGATTCTTGTTTTGTAATGGGATTTTGGGGGCTGAGATTTGTCACTGTGTGGGTATTGCTATTGACTCTGCTGCCTTTTATGCAGTCTGTTTTCTTATTTATTTGTCAAATGTTCTCATGTACGTTTTTCTCTCGTGTGTGTAAAATTCTGGGAATATTGCAAGTTTCTGTGTTGGCCAGTTGAACTGATTTGTTTGTTGGTGCTCTATTGGTTCCAAAACCTTGAATTAACACATTTGGTTGTTTTAAGAGCTCACCAGCTGAGGCTTGTGCCCCAGCCTGTGGGGCTGCTGACTTTGTAGGCACAGATTGTGTGTGAGAGGCTATGGTTGGGTGCTGTTTCTCCCATTCATGCAAGTGCTCAGGATTGCCAAAGTTCTCCAATACAGGGCAAATCCTAATTGGAGGTAGAGGGTAGTTAAATATTTTCCTTCATGAGGGCATCAATGTTGTTGGGAAATTGTCTGAGTTCAGTGGAGTAACTCACATAAAACAGCAAATAAAAAGATAACAGGCATGCAGAGCTGGTTGATGGATTCCTTTGACATAATGGCAAACTTCCCAAAATTTCTTCCTGAAAGCCACATGGGCACAGCACTACAGTTCTGCTGGGGTTTGAGGCTTCCATAAGTGTGGGGATGACAGGACACACAGGACATTTCCTCAGCTTTGACAGTAGTGGCCCTGAGTTTTGCCTGATTTGATTTGGTTTTGCTTTACCTTTGGGTCTTCATGAACAGTTCTGAGAAAGGTGCAGCCCCAGATCCCCTTGTTCTGGCTTTACCTTTGTGCCAGGTCTTGTCTCATTAGAGCTCCTCTGTTGTTTGCTGCTGGAGTGCTTGTGTGGAAGCTCTCTGCTCTGCTTTTGAGTAAAAAACACTGAGATTTGTTTTCTAAAATCTTTTATCAGAGCCTCTACTCTGCTATTGAACTGTTGATCTGAGTAGTCTTGAAATTTGTTTATTCCTTTTTCTTTGTTCTTAGGTGACACTGCTGTGTTCCTTTACTAAATTTTGTATGAAGTCTGGATGAAAACTTAGTGTGTTTGTGCAGCTACTGAATGTTTTAGGAGGATACAAACCAGCTGGGTTTTTTCTAAATGCTGGTTGCCACATAGCACCACAGAGATGAGAACAGCTAGAGGAAGCTGTCAAGTGATCCCAGGACCTTCCTTCCATCATTTAACACAAAGGGACAACAAATAGTGACAGAGTCAAAGCTGTAGGCAGCAAAGCCTTCCAAAAATAATTGCCAAATCTGCCCACAATGTGTCTGTTAGGGTCATAGTCTTGTAAGTATGCAAGTTAGAGGCATCTTAAAAAGGAATAAGTTATGCATAGGTAGTCAAACACTAAGATTTCATCACAGCTTACCCTGGTTTCTTGTTCAAACCCAGATTTTTTTTTTATTCTTATTCAAACCCAGATTAGCAGTTTCTGTCAATACAATTACAAAATGGGCCTGAGATCTGTCTCAAATACAGCTGTAGACTGTAGCAATTCCCATAACACACAATAAAATAAGTTTTCATGTAATTTGCTGGAACAACAGCTTGAGGAATGCCCTTTTTCCATTCTGCTAACTTTAGCTATTACAGGTATATGGCATCTAGTCCTTCTATTGTTTTTTGTATGTACATTTTTCCCCATGAAAAGATGTCTCATTCAGCAAACTATTTGACTTTCCAGTGTTCTTCCTTCTAATTAGCAGTGAGAATAAATGATCTTTATGTTAGGCAAAGCATAATTTCTTTTTCTGAAACAAATGGTGTTACCAAAATAGAACAGAGAAAGCTTGTTGTGATTCCTCTTTTCCTCTGCAATATTTGAATAAATGATACAGTGAAGTTCAAGGCCTTGTGAGAAGTGAGAGGTCATGCCTGATTGAAATACAAGTTCAGCATAACTGTGTGTTAGCTCTCTGCCTGCTTTAATGGGAGGGATGTCAAGGCAGCCTATTTTTTACTCTCATAAAGAAAAGGGTGCCAATATGTCTCAATAAAATGGAATCAAAATCAGCTCAAAGCCCAAGGAGGTTAATAAATCACAATTTTCAGGAAACCTCAGAATTATAAGGAGAATATGGCTCTAATGATAACGAAAGTGTGGCTGATTTATCCAATGATCCAGCAGGTCCTTGATGACCAGGGAATGTCACTGTTAAGCCCCCATGTCCCTGATGTGGCAGGAAGGGGTCAGGCTGGGGAGCAGCATGTTCAGAAAAAGGGCAGCTCATGGGTTCCCTTCTTCCACCCTCTGCTGCTCCCTGGGATTCTCCAGAGGAGAATCCACTGACAGGACAGGCAATTTCACTTGTTTTTGATTTGTACAACGTGTATGAGAACCCTGTCTGTGGGCAGGAAATGTGTTTGCAGGAGTGATGTAAATGATGCATGTGCAAGGTGTCCATGGCAGACACAGCCTGAAGGCCACCATGGGGTGGTGTGAGGGAGCTGGGGGTGCTCAGCCTGGAGAAAAGGAGACTCAGGGGTGACATTTTCACTCTGTACAGCTCCTGAAAGGTGCCTGTGCTCAGCTGGGGCTGGGCTCCTTCTCCAGGCAGCACTGACACAACCAGAGCACACAGCCTCAAGGGAAGTACAGGCTGGATATAGAGGTTGGTTAATATAGGCTGGATATTAGGAAGAAGATTTTACACAAAGAGTGATAAAGTTCTGGAATGGCTGCCCAGGGAGGTGGTGGAGTCCCCATCCCTGGGTGTGTTTAAAACAAGCCTGGATGTGGCACTGGGTACCAGGGTTCAGTTGAGGTGTTGGGGCTGGGGTGGATGATCTTGAAGGTCTCTCCCAACCTGGTCATTCTGTGATTCTGTGAAGGGTTTGTCTGCTTGCCTTGCACTGCTCCTGGGGGCCCCCAGCCCATCAGGCTGTGCTGCACACTCTGCCCAGTGTCTGACACGCTCTGGAGGTGATGCAGAATGAGAGAAATGAAGGAATCTCATGGGGAGGCAGCAGCAGAGCTGGGGTCTCACTGCCAGCAGGACCATACCTGCTTCTGCTGCCTGCTCCTGGTGCCAAGGTGAACTCATTCCTTTTGGAAAAGGAGTCAGTGAGGTGTGTGTGTAAACAGATGGCAGAGCCTGCTCAGGAAATACGCCTCTACCAATATTGTCCTACAGTGACTGCTTTGATGCTGTGCAGTGTGCTCTGGTCCTGCTAGACTTAGAACTCTCTCTGCTAGCTCATGAGGAATTTTTAAATCCTGTTGGCTGTCTGATTGATTTCTATGGGAAAACTATGATATCAGTGGGAACTTTATCTGGGGAGAGATGAATGCTTGGCTGGATGCTGTCAGGGTAAATTGCAGGTGCTGTATGAAAACCCCACAGCAGATAAAAACATGTCACTCAGCTCCCTCCCCTCCCTGCCCTACTTTATTCTCCCCAGCACACTTAACATGCAAGGACCTCGTGTGCCATCACTGCAGGGGATGTGTGTGCTCAGGACAGGAGACATTTCCATTTCTATTTTCAGGTTGTTTTTCAGGATGAGTGAGTGGATTACAGCTTCTCCCCGTTCTGGTGCATCAATACTTTGCATCAGCCACAGCTTTTGCTTGAAGCTGTGCATTGTTAATCTTACCCAGCTCT